ACACCTGACTTTTTAAATGTGGGTTCTGAGGATCAAACTCAAGTTCTCGTTCTTGTAAGGCAAACATTTTACCAACTGAGCTATTTCCCCCAGTCCTCAATTTATCATTGATTAAATGCTTCTTAGGTGCCAAATCAATTTATCATTGATTAAATGCTTCTTAGGTGCCAAGCATTATGAAAATATTTTATATACATTATCAGTAATCCTCATGATAAGCACATCTGATAAAGAATACCAGTGACCTGACAAAGCAAGGGAAATGGCACAGAGGAGAACCATGGTAGGCAAAATAGTAGAGAAGCAGAGGTGAGTTTTGCCCCTGTGTGGTTTTGGTTTGGCTCTACAGTATTTGGGGATCAACCCAGGAGATTGAGCGGGCCAAGTAAGCACTTTACCACTGAGCCACATCTCCAGTTCGGAAGCAGTGTTTTGATTGCTTCACAGCACACCAGGCTATGTGTAAAGGGATTATCATCAGGCCTGAGCTATCAAGAGGGCTCAGGATTCTATTTCCTTGGAAACTACAATGTGAAGATAAATGTGGAATGTTTTTGGAAACCTCTTCTCTGAAGCTCTGCACATAGGTTGGAAATTGAAGCAGCTTCTTTGTGTCCAAATAACTCAGACCTTCCAGGGAAAACATTCTTATATTTCAAACAGCAAATTTTCTGAAAATCTCGGTCTCCAGAAAATAAGATCTCTCAGCACTAGTCCTTTGGTTAATTAACACAAATAGTCTTCCAAGGGGACTGGACAGATGGTTCAGCTAAGAGCACTGGCTGTTCTTCCAGAGGTCCTAGGTTCAGTTCCCAGCACCCATATAGTGGCTAACAACCATCCTTAATTCCAGTTCCAGGGGATCTGATGCCCTCTTCTGGCCTCTGCGGGCATGCAGGCATGTGGTGTACATACATGCAAGTAAAACATTCATACATAAAAAGTAAAAATAAAATGTTAGCTGGGCATGGTGGTGCACGCCTGTAGTCCCAGCACTTGGGAGGCAGAGGCAGGCGTATCTCTGTGAGTTCAAGGTCAGCCTGGTCTACATAGTGAGTTCCAGGTCAGCTGGGGCTACAGGGAGACCCTGTTTAAAACAAGACCAAAAAAATTTTTTTTAAATTAAATGGAGGCTAGAATTTAAAATGAAATAAAATTACTTAACTGACAGAAAAAGAAAAGCTAGAATGTAGTAAGTTATGATAGCACGAAGCAACATGGATGCTTATCAAAAGCACAATCTTACAACAACAACAACAAAAAAAAACAGGTGTGATGGTGCAGACTTTAATCCCGACAATCAGCAGGCAGAGGCAGGAGGATCTCTTTAAATTCAAGGCCAAGCTGGTCTATGTAGTGAGCTCCAAGCTGGCCAGTGCTACATAGTGGGACCCTGTCTCAAAAAAACAGAAGCACATGTTAAGAGATGGAGCTGTATATAAAAGGTTGTGTAGTGTATGATTCCATGACATTCTGGAAAAGGCAAGACTGTAGGGATTGAAACCAGCTTGCTGCCTGCTGGGGGCTGAAGTGAGGGGAAGGGGATTGATTACCAAGGGAACTAAGGAAGTCTTCGGGGTAATGGAAATACTCTCTATTTTTTATTATGGCAATTATATAACTGCAAGTATTTGTCAAAACTCAATGCTTTATTCACAAAAGGGTACATTTTATGGTATAGCAGTTTTATTTTTGTGATTGTTTTTTGGGGGGATGCTAGAGCTCTACCACTGAGCCGTATCTCCAGTCTCAGCTGTTCCATCTTAATAAACTAAACAGCACTCTAGGATAATCAGTACAATAAATGGCAAGTATGAAGCAGGTAAGAGGAGTTGAAAAAGAGGTTCAAAGTTTAAGGGATGCACATGCATGAATATTCTCAGATCTTCGAATGAAGTGATTTTGTTTTTGTGGTAAGACAGGGTCTCCTTGTAGCCCCAATGGCCTGGACCTCACTTGTACAACAGGCTGGCCTCACCCTCCAGAGAGCCACCTGCCACTGCCTTGAGTGCTGGAGGTAAAGGCATTCATCACCATGCCCTGCTTGTGGCAAGTTTTTTTTTAAAGCTTGGGAGGGGGGGACGTGTCACTGGGCACATGTGGAGGTCAGAGGACAACTTACAGGAGTCTGATCTCTCTTCCGCCATGTGGGTTCCAGGGATGGAAGTCATCAGGCTTGTTGCAAGTGCTGCTGAGCCACTATACCAGGACTTCTTCTTTGTTCTTCTTAGTTTTTTGGTTTTATTTTTGCAACAGAGTCTCACTTTTGAAACTCAAAACTCATGGTTCCTCTCCCCTCTCTGCCTCCCAAGAGTTGGGATTACAAGGTATGAGCCACCATGTTCACCAGAATAAAATGCCTTGGGAGGTAAAGAGATGAATGATAGCCGGGTGTGGTGGTGCACGCCTTTAATCCCAGCACTTGGGAAGCAGAGAAAGGCAGATCTCTTTGAGTTCAAGCCCAGCCTGGTCTACATAGCAAGTTCCAGGACAGCTGAGGCTACAGGGAGACCCTGTCTCAAAAAAAGACCAAAAAAAAAAAGAGATGAATGATGGACTGGAGAGATGGCTCAGTGGTTAAGAACACTGGTTGTTCTTGCAGAAGACCCGGGTTTGAATCCCAGCCCCCACATGGCAGCTAACAACTGTCCATAACTCCAATTCCTGGGGATCCATGAGCCTCTTCTGACCTCCAAGGGCATTGCACAATACAGGTGCGCTTATCTACATGCAGACAATACATGTGTACACATAAAATAAAAATAATAAAATATTTTTTAAAAAGAGATGAATAACTAGGGCTAGGTGTTTCAGTGGTAGACACTGGCCTAGTATACATGAGACCCAGG